ATTTAAAAAGTGAAACTTGTATATTATATTCATACATTACATACAAACTCATATATTTCAGATGTTTATTTTGTTTAATTTTGATGATTACAAATGACAACAAATGAAAATCTCAAATTCATCATATCAGAAAATTTGAATATTACTGAAGACCAATAAAAACAAAGGATTTATAGAAATGTTGGCCAACTGAAAAGTATGAACATGAAAAGTATGAGCATGTACAGCACTCAGTATTTAGTTGGGCCTCCTTTGGCCTGTATTACTGCAGCAATGCGGCGTGGCATGGAGTCGATCAGTCTGTGGCACTGCTCAGGTGTTATGATAGCCCAGGTTGCTCTAATAGTGGCTTTTAGCTCTTCTGAATTGTTGGGTCTGGTGTATTGCATCTTCTTCTTCACAATACCCCATAGATTTTCTATGGGGTTAAGGTCAGGAGAGTTTGCTGGCCAATTAAGAACAGGGATACCATGGTCCTTCAACCAGGTACTGGTAGCTTTGGCACTGTGTGCAGGTGCCAAGTCCTGTTGGAAAATGAAATCTGCATCTCCAAAAAGTTGGTCAGCTGCAGGAAGCATGAAGTGCTCTAAAACTTCCTGGTATGTGGCTGCGTTGACCCTGGACCTCAGAAAACACAATGGACCAACACCAGCAGATGACATGGCACCCCAAACCATCACTGACTGTGGAAACTTTACACTGGACTTCAAGCAACGTGGATGAAGTGCCTCTCTTCTTTTCCTCCAGACTCTGGGACCTTGATTTCCAAAGGAAATGCAAAATTTACTTTCATCAGAGAACATGACTTTGGACCACTCACCAGCAGTCCAGTCCTGTTTCTCTTTAGCCCAGGCAAGACGCTTCTGACGCTGTCTGTGGTTCAAGAGTGGCTTGACACAAGGAATGCGACAGCAGAAACCCATGTCTTTCATACGTCTGTGTGTGGTGGTTCTTGAAGCACTCACTCCAGCTGCAGTCCACTCTTTGTGAATCTCCCCCACATTTTTGAATGGGTTTTGTTTCACAATCCTCTCCAGGGTGCGGTTATCTCTCTTGCTTGTACACTTTTTTCGACCACATCTTTTCCTTCCCTTCGCCTCTCTATTAATGTGCTTGGACACTGAGCTCTGTGAACAGCCAGCCTCTTTAGCGATGACCTTTTGTGTCTTGCCCTCCTTGTGCAAGGTGTCGATGGTCGTCTTTTGGACAACTGTCAAGTCAGCAGTCTTCCCCATGATTGTGTAGCCTATAGAACTAGACTGAAAGACCATTTAAAGGCTTTTGCAGGTGGTTTGAGTTAATTAGCTGATTAGAGTGTGGCACCAGGGGCCATCAATTTTGAACCTTTTCACAATATTCTAATTTTCTGATATGATGAATTTGAGATTTTCATTTGTCATTTGTAATCATCAAAATTAAACAAAATAAACATCTGAAATATATGAGTTTGTATGTAATGTATGAATATAATATACAAGTTTCACTTTTTAAATGGAATTACTGAAATCAATCTACTTTTTCATGATATTCTAATTTTATGACCAGCACCTGTATGTGCTGGTTGAAGCAGGGGAACCTTCGGTTCCATACATGATTTCAAACCATGACGTCTGAGTGTAATACCAACAGTAACCATGGAAACGGTGGTCCCAGCTCTGTTCTGGTCAATGACCAGCTCCTCCAGTGTAGTTCTGGGCTGATTTCTCACCTCAATTAGGAAAAAAGATTTAGGAATTCTCCAACAAAAAAAGGGAAGAAAAAAAAGAATTGAGAATTTTTTGAAATTCAGAGTTAAAAAATTAGAGAAACTTTTTAAAATTTGAATTGCTCTTTTCTTAACGTATTTATCTTTAAAAGATTCCCAATTTTAGTTTAAAATATTTATTTTCTGTTTTTCATTTATTATAAAATGTGTTTTTGTTGAATTGCAAATCTGTTAGCGTTCGTCTTCATCAAGCTACATCGAACTGGCTCCCTCTGCTGGCAAAAGTTGGTCACTTTTCATGTTTAGTATGAAATCAGTTTGCAGGGAAAAAGGAACCCAAGTTACTTTAGTGCATCTATGGTTAAATCCATATGGGCCTTGTATTAATGGATGGTTTCTAATGAGGAGTAATATTGCTAACGTTTATTCCACTAAAACACCAAATTCCTGGGGGGTGAACATCACAGACAGCCTCCCCTGGACTGGAAACACCACATCACTGATCAAAAGGGCCCAGAAACAGAGGAGAGCCCACCTCTCTCCATTTTTAGGGGGGTGAGGGGGTCATTGATGATGTCACGGGCTCGGGACACGCAGCGCTGGGATGAAATGTCTTTAATGGAGGGAAGAGGAGCCCCCATGATCCTCTCTGCTGTTCTCACCTTCTTCCAGTCATGGTCGTTGTCGTCTCTGATGAGGCCCATCGCCGTTATTGAAGATTTCCAGAGGACTTCACTGACAATGAAACTGACAATGCCCACGTGCATGGCAGCTGGATGCTGGAATACATCGGGTAAAAGTGAAAAAAAGAGTTATTCCACCTTTCTGATTCCTGATCCTCCACGGACGGGTTGGTCGTTGGATCGCCAACTTGAAGAGGGAGGATTTGCCATCGAACTTCTGGCCAGAGAAAAAACCCGTAATATGTAGCCAACATTTGGAAGAAGAATGTTTTCAAGATGACTTGGATAATAGCGCGTTGTGACAAACACCAGATACAGCACTGGGACTTGATCAACAGCCGATACCGCACCGTGACGTCACTAACCAGTAGGTGGCAGTAGTGTTCTATGACAAACATGGATGCCTCCAGTAAAGCACATTCACATGAATATTACTCTGAATTAAAAACACTGATCATTTATTGAACAGGATGGAATCATTTCAGATTTAAAGAACTTTCAGAAGTTTGGATTCAGAATATGAGCAACTTTTCCTTTAAAGCTCCAAAACCAATGAAGAGACTCGACTCCTGCAGAGCTGAAATAAAGAGCCGATCTTCCAGTAGAAGCTCTTACTACTGTGAGCCAACAAGCTAACGGCAGCTAGCATTTTTCTTCTTCTCTACTTCATTCACTTTATGTAGAGCTCCCCCTAAGGGTTTGTTGGGAACAGTTCAGTAGATATCAACATACAGCTTATATATGCATGTTTACAGGTGCTGGTCATAAAATTAGAATATCATGAAAAAGTAGATTGATTTCAGTAATTCCATTTAAAAAGTGAAACTTGTATATTATATTCATACATTACATACAAACTCATATATTTCAGATGTTTATTTTGTTTAATTTTGATGATTACAAATGACAACAAATGAAAATCTCAAATTCATCATATCAGAAAATTAGAATATTACTGAAGACCAATAAAAACAAAGGATTTATAGAAATGTTGGCCAACTGAAAAGTATGAACATGAAAAGTATGAGCATGTACAGCACTCAGTATTTAGTTGGGCCTCCTTTGGCCTGTATTACTGCAGCAATGCGGCGTGGCATGGAGTCGATCAGTCTGTGGCACTGCTCAGGTGTTATGATAGCCCAGGTTGCTCTAATAGTGGCTTTTAGCTCTTCTGAATTGTTGGGTCTGGTGTATTGCATCTTCTTCTTCACAATACCCCATAGATTTTCTATGGGGTTAAGGTCAGGAGAGTTTGCTGGCCAATTAAGAACAGGGATACCATGGTCCTTCAACCAGGTACTGGTAGCTTTGGCACTGTGTGCAGGTGCCAAGTCCTGTTGGAAAATGAAATCTGCATCTCCAAAAAGTTGGTCAGCTGCAGGAAGCATGAAGTGCTCTAAAACTTCCTGGTATGTGGCTGCGTTGACCCTGGACCTCAGAAAACACAATGGACCAACACCAGCAGATGACATGGCACCCCAAACCATCACTGACTGTGGAAACTTTACACTGGACTTCAAGCAACGTGGATGAAGTGCCTCTCTTCTTTTCCTCCAGACTCTGGGACCTTGATTTCCAAAGGAAATGCAAAATTTACTTTCATCAGAGAACATGACTTTGGACCACTCACCAGCAGTCCAGTCCTGTTTCTCTTTAGCCCAGGCAAGACGCTTCTGACGCTGTCTGTGGTTCAAGAGTGGCTTGACACAAGGAATGCGACAGCAGAAACCCATGTCTTTCATACGTCTGTGTGTGGTGGTTCTTGAAGCACTCACTCCAGCTGCAGTCCACTCTTTGTGAATCTCCCCCACATTTTTGAATGGGTTTTGTTTCACAATCCTCTCCAGGGTGCGGTTATCTCTCTTGCTTGTACACTTTTTTCGACCACATCTTTTCCTTCCCTTCGCCTCTCTATTAATGTGCTTGGACACTGAGCTCTGTGAACAGCCAGCCTCTTTAGCGATGACCTTTTGTGTCTTGCCCTCCTTGTGCAAGGTGTCGATGGTCGTCTTTTGGACAACTGTCAAGTCAGCAGTCTTCCCCATGATTGTGTAGCCTATAGAACTAGACTGAAAGACCATTTAAAGGCTTTTGCAGGTGGTTTGAGTTAATTAGCTGATTAGAGTGTGGCACCAGGGGCCATCAATTTTGAACCTTTTCACAATATTCTAATTTTCTGATATGATGAATTTGAGATTTTCATTTGTTGTCATTTGTAATCATCAAAATTAAACAAAATAAACATCTGAAATATATGAGTTTGTATGTAATGTATGAATATAATATACAAGTTTCACTTTTTAAATGGAATTACTGAAATCAATCCACTTTTTCATGATATTCTAATTTTATGACCAGCACCTGTATATATATATTTAGTGGCCGCAGCTTATAGTGAGATGCGCTCTGTTGTGCAGAAAATATGGTAAACAAAAATACAAATATATCATTACACTTTACAATTATGTTCTGTATTGTTTTAAATCTTTGCATAAGCGGCAAATTTTAAATAATTACTTTAGGTTGTCTTTCTTTTTATCTTGAAATATACTGTAAAGTCCATACAATTCATTGGATGAATGGCTTTGCTTTCACACATTGAAATGCAGTAATAAAATGCTTCAGGACATTTTTATTGAAAGCTTTCATAATTCCTATAACTGTAAATCACACTTTGTTTATAACTTTTCGCTGAAACCGACAGTTTATAACAGAATAAAGCAAACAAGTCCTTCACTGCAGCCCTACAATATATGTTCCTGCAGAAATAAAGAGTAGATCAGCGAGTTCCTTCTCAATACGACTCAACAACGCATTCAACTGCATTATTCTAGTGCTTCTTCCATTGGATGCAACAAACAAAACTGTTTGGTTCTTCTGACCTGAAAACAGATATATGGGAGAGAATTACATTCACTAATGAGAAAAAATAAATCTGACAGATTATCTCATTATTAAAACATCAGTATCTCGTAATTATGAGATCCTGATCTCATAATTACGAGATGTCATGTTTAGGAGATCAGGAAGGAATATGCTATGTGAAACCTGAACAATGAGCGTGTTGTGGGATTTAATCTGCTTTTATTTCCTTTTAGGTATCCTGAGAAATACTTAGATTTAATGCATCTGAAACGCATTCCAGCCGACATGGTGGCGACCCAAAGAACTGTTTGGTACCTTTTTAAAAATCCTAGATCCTCAAGGAGAACAGCTGAGGTTTCAGAATCGTGTAAAACGACCAGCTCCCAGCTTCATGCAGCCTGTCGATTCATATGGAAAAACTAAAACCAAACGGAAGCTGGATTAATGGAGCCGTTGAAGGATTTTGGCGTAATTTTTAAATGGCTGCATGCTTCCTCCACTTGTAGTAATCCCAGGGTTATCCCAGGTATCTAATAACGAGATCTTATCTCATAATAACGAGATAAGATCACATAATTACAAGATTAGTTTCTCATAATTATGAAAAAATATCTCGGAATGATGAGATAAGCTGTCCGATTTTTATTTTTTTTCTTTGGCGAATGTAATACGCTTCAGTAGAGTAATCCTGAAACTGAAATAATCAGGGGAGTGATGGTCAAGTGGTTAGAGCAGTTGGAGTTGAATTCCCAAAGCCTCCGATACAGGTCCCTGAGCAAGACCCTTAACCCCACCCTGCTCCTTGGGTGCCACACAATGGCCGCCTACTGCTCCCCAAGGGGAGGAGTTAAATGCAGAGAGGGAATTTCGCCATAGTGGGACAGTATAAGGATTTACATTACATAACTAGAGCCAAGAAAATCCCTTCAAATGGTTGAAGCATGCGAGCAAACTTTAAAATCAGAGAGCAGCTGGATTATCTCTCGGGTAGTTTAATTGAGTTTGAAGGTCTTTGGATTCCCAGACGGTCCTGTGGAGCCCTCAGGGTCCTTTGAGGTTTCTCCAGCCGCCTGTCTGTGGCTATGAGTCCTTCTGTGCCTGCTGAGGGAATGGCTCCAGGTGAACTTGAGGCCGCATGTGAGGCACTCGTACGGTTTTTCTCCCGTGTGAAGGCGCTGGTGTTTCGTCATGGAGTTGTATCTGTTGAACGACGCCCCGCACTCGTTGCAAATATATTTCTCTGACCTAATATGGACGTTCTGCTCATGGTCCCTCAAGTTGCCCAGCTGCGAGAAGCATTTCCCGCACACAGGGCACATGTGCGGCTTTTCTCCTGAGTGAGTCAGCTTGTGGAGGGTCAGATCCTGACGGGTGTAAAAGTCTTTGCTGCAGACGATACACTTGTGCGGCCGTTCTCCTGTGTGCTTTCTCATGTGTCTCTTGAGTCCCTCCGAGCGGGAGTAGCTGCGCTCGCACTGGGAGCATTGAAAAGGTTTCTCTCCTGTGTGGGAACGGGCGTGCCGGCGCAGCGAGGAGGCCTTGAAGAAACACATCCCGCAGTCGACACAGCGGTGAGGCTTTTCCGGCTGTTCCTCGTGCGTCTTCTCGTGCTCTTTGCAGTGACCCGCCTCGGAGAATCCCTTTCCGCAGACGGGGCAGGTAAAGGGTCTCTCCCCGGTGTGAACGCGCTCATGCCGCAGGAGTTTGTGAAGTTTATTGAATGGCTTCATACAAAACGAACAATGATGAGGAACCTTCGGCTTCCTCAAATGTGTGCGTTTATGCCTCGCTAGCCGGGAAGGCCTGTTGAACACTTTCCCACAGTCAGGGCAGGGATGCTTGTTGGTCCTGTTGTGGGTGTTCTGGTGTCGAATCATCTTGTCCTCCTGGGTGAAGCTTTTCTCACAATGTTGACACTGATAAAGTGACTTTGGCTTCTTTTCGTGGACAGGTTTGTGTCTCTCCACCCTGGATGGCCGGTCGAACACCTTACCGCAGGTGGGGCAAGGGAAACGCTTGTCCGTTTTTTTACTTTTCAGCTGTTTGGAGCTCTCCTGGTCAGAAGTGGACGAAACATCACTGGAATCAGACTCCAGTTCTACGTTCACCTCCACAGCTCCAACACCTGTCGATAAGTTCAGAAAAGAATGGATCATTTTCATTGTCTATATCATGCTAAACCTACTGAAGGATCTATATAATTTTCACTGTTTGAACATAGTTCAGTAATAAGCCTTTAACATACTTAGCAACACATAGAATATAGTGGACAGGATGTTTGAACTACTGCAAACAGAAACAATGGAAAGGTCAGTAGAGAATCAAACGTTTGAAATTCAGTCGGCCGTGGTGAGGATGTTGGTGGGTAAATCCTTCTGTTGAAGCAGAGCTACGAGCCGATCTAGCAGAACCTCGAGTAACCAGCGGGTAAAAAGTAGTTAGAATCTATGTTGAAGTGAGAAAGTCCTCCTGAAAACATGGTCTGTGCAGTCAGTTCATCCAGATTACCATCCGGCCTTTGACGATTATTTCTCTGTGGGAGCCGCTCAGACCTAACCTGGTAGTAGCCAGATTAATGTCTAGCACTGAGTTGAGTTCTACGTTATAAATCTGGGATGGCTGCCGTTCAGGCTGTCCGTGAAGAGGAGGAAACGTTTAGTACAATACTTCCAGCTGATTGGGTGATGTGCCAGCTAGATACTGCCTTCCATAATATGCTTTCAGTCAATAGTAGCAACGAATGGTGACATTTAGTAAGCTGATAAATCCAGGGTTCCTACAGCATAAGGCAAGTTAAATTCAAGACTTTTTAAGACTTTTTAATGCCACTTGAAATAAAAATTTAAGACCAAATTCACAAGAAACACAAGAAAAACCTGCTTGCGACAACTTAACCCAAAGGTTTATTTTAACATAAACCGCTGCACTAATGTTTCAAATGTTGAAAAGCTTCCCAAACAGGAAGAAAGCTAAAAACACACAAATGACAGATATATTTGAACAATTATTTAACTGAATTCACAAACTTTGTTTTAGCAGGGAACAAAACAAATCAGTTTTAAAGCCCCAACATAACCAGTGCTAAGTCTTTTTAGCAGCTATTTTTCTTTGTATGGTTTTCTTAGTATGTTTGATTTGGTGATCAGTGGAGGCATTGCAGAGACAAGGGTGGAACTAAACTGAGAAATACCGGCTGTTTCTCTGTAACTCCATTTTGACGCTTTGTGTTTCGTGCTTCGCATGTGCGACTCCACTGCCTTAATTCCCATCGTTCTGAGCTTCAATGACTTCTTGCACCAAATCCACTGAGCCTCATGTATGTTCCCTGGTTTTAGCCATGGAGAAAACTCTTGGCTGGAGACTATTTTGGTTACATTTACACTTGCTCATATTTTCCAGACAAAAATTAAATGGTGCATCTCCCAACTGTCCCGGCCGCAACAACGCTTTATTGGTTCCGCTATCGGGACGGAACCAATAATGGAGAGCCATTAGTTTTTTTTCAATAAAAACAAAAACAAAAAAATCGTCAATTTTAACCTTTTATTTAGATTACAAAATAAATCGTAATAAAAAGAATCCTATTTATGATCTTTTAAAAATTAAGACCAACGAAAGACGGATTTAAGACATTTTAATACCAATTAAGGCCTCAATGCCTTTTAAGACTTTTTAAGGACCGCGGGAACCCTGAAATCAAACTTTTCCTGTCGAAGGGCACCTCTTTGCTCCTTTTTTAAACGAGAAATTGTCACTATTTTAGCCAAAAACGAGTCAATTGACGTTTCAATAGGCGAGTCCTCCACCAATTCCCCTGCAATGCCCGTATTATTGTGGCCATTCCTACATGTCCTGCCGCAAAAAATTCTGCTAGCATGTCATTGGTCCAATTTGATGGTTGTTATGAGACAGATATATAAGCGGGAGTCTTTCAATATGGATTTGTTGTGAGACTGAAAACTCAGAACTCGCGACAATTCAGCTCGCAGCACAAGGTTAATTCAGACCCCCACATACGGGCGCTGCGCTGTCACTGGGAATCCCCAGCAGCAGCTGCCTCAGGCCCGCTCGCCTCTCCAGGGTTTTCCCCTCCTGTTGGTGGCGGCTGGAAGTAGATGTTAGCGTTTTTCAGGTCTGTGCTACAAACTGCAGGCAGCAGGATAATAAAAGCCAACATATTCTGCCGGCAGGTTTCTACATTTGAAGTTAATTTAGGCGTTAATAAACTGTTTCAGAGGAGTGATCATAGCGCTCTGCATCAGCAGTGCTGCGTCTGACTTCCTGCCAGCTCCCAGATCAGCTTCTCTCATTGGTTGATGCGGCACATCCAGCAGCTAAAGTTAGTTTTTTCCAACTCCAGCTGCTTGTGAAGCATGTCATGCGCCTCAGATGCTCAGAAGCTTGTGAGTCGATGCCTCAGCTGCTCAGATACGTCATATTGCACTGCTCCTGCTGCTCAAAACACGCTGAAGGACTTTTTGATGCGCCTTGATCCACGTTGACCACAGACTTGGCATGTAAACTGTCTGCTTCTGCTGCTCAAAGCGTGTGTATGTGGACGTAGCATAAAGCCAAGTATCGAAATCGTAGTCCGCCTCATTACGACCAGGCTTTGGTCCTCTCAGGTCCTCCAGTTAATAAATACACCAGATATGCAGACATATTACAAATACATCTTTGAAAGATATACACCCCCCAGGGACAGAGTTAGCTTTTATTGGTGGAAACAGGAACCGGTTTGGTGAAAATGGTTAACTTCTGGAATTTTAAAAGGACTTCACATTGAATGAAAAGTTACCATTCTAAACACAAGGGTTACCTAAACCTTAACAAGGCTAAATACCTGCAATTGGAGCTGGTTAATATTTGTTAACAGGATCATTATTTACATACTTTCCTCTGAAGATTCAGATTCAGATGGTGTGTTGTCTGGACCCATGGCTGCAGTCTGTAGATACGAAACACAGAAACACATGAGAAAATGCACTTCTTTTATTCTTCGATACAATCTGCTACTTTATAATCGTTCAGTAAAGGTATTCCGAAAACGTTAAAAACAATCTACTGGACTTTGTTTCCAAGTCTGAAGACGTTTCTCTTCCCATCCAGGAAGCTTTTACAATTCAAATTGTCAGGAATAGTGTTGAGTTCCAGGCTTTATATAACTTGGAAACAATGCGGTTAAATAATCTAATAAAGTTCTAGTTTTATTTTCTTAAGGTCACTTGCATGGCTGATATTAAAAGAGTTTTAAAATCTAACTTTAACATTTCAAAATTTAGAGAACATTCAGGCTGTCAGCACTCTCTGGTGGACATCCTGTGTAACTGCAATGTTAATTCTAAAAATTTATTTTTGATGTGCTACTGTAGCCTGGTAAACCAGACTAAATGTGAGATTAAATGTATAATCTAGTCTAGCCCTGATCAATGAGACATCAGAAGATTGTTGATGAGAACAACCTGTTGTTTTTCAAACCATGTCTGCTCCTATTGGCCAACGCTCTGACCAATGAGAGCCACTGACTGTGACGTAGGAAGCGCCACAGGAAGCTGGTGGGGGAGTGGAAACTAACAGCCTGTCAGTAAAACGGCGAATGCGTCTTTCTTAAAAATGAATGAGCGTAGAGCCTCTTCCTGCTCACGTTTCAATGAAAACCCAAAGTCTGATCCTTCCAGAACTGATTCCAAAGCTGAGTCAAAAATCGCCATCAGAGCCAGCGCTCCTTCACACACGACTTTGCTGAGAGAGGGCCGCTGCAGACGGGCTACTGTTAGCCCTGGCTGCTATTAGCCTCAGAGCTACTCTGGTTGCCGCGGTCCTCGCAACTTCGGAAATATTTTTTTTTATTACGCATTAAATGGGTAAATGGACCGTAAAGTGATGCTTTAAAGTATATTATTCTCGCCTCAAATGATCTTAAAACGTACTTTTACTGAACAACAGAAAGCAAACTTTTAATTTTCAACGGTGCGTTCCTTTGAAAGCTGCTGCTGCCGCAGTTCACGCTACTGTTGTGCTTTCTCCAGCGTCGTGCAGCTTTGTCGTCACGCCCTCAAAACCCCGCCCACTTTGCATCCAGACATTCAAAACACATCTCTGCGTTGTGATTGGCCGGCCAGATTTAGGGCCTGGGGCATTGATCGAGGCTAGACCACTCGCAGGCAAAAATGATTTGGGCCGCTGCCGGGTGGAGCTAGTTTCATAGGCTAGGGCTACTGGATAAAACCTGGAACTCAACGCCATTTCTGACATTTTGAAATGAAAAAGCTTCCTGGATGGAAGAGAAACATCTTCAGACTTTGAAACAAAGTCCAGTGGATTTCTTTCCTTTTTATTTTTTATTAATTCTTTAATACGATCTCAAAATGTTGAGATCTTATTAAACAAAAACTGGATTATTTCCGTGTATAGTTTTATTGCCCTCAAACTGTAAATTAAATTGTTTTTTATAAATAGGCTTTTTATTATGTTTTTTCTTTTTGTTTGTGGTTCTAAAATGATGGCAAAAGGAAAAAATAAAATAGCTATTTTTGAGTGATTGAAAATATTTGGGATAGTAGGGATTTTAGTTATTACACAAAAATATTTTTGATATCAATGTCAATATTTTCACCTTATTTTTAATATATTTAAAGCTGCATTCATTTATTGAAGATTTACCCAATGTCAGAATTTGATAGTTATAGCAATAAAAGGTAAATTTATCAAAGTGCAATTATTACAAATTCCACTTAAGATGATAAAGGAAGTACTATAGCTTTCTTTTTCTTATGTCTGTTTAATGAACACAGAAACACAGCTCTGCACTTCATCTTTATTTACTGTGCACTGGCAGTCAGCTGGCTGAAAGATGTCTGCAAAGTTTTTGGTGTAATTCAAAGAGGACAGCAGGTAAAAAAAAAAAAAAGTTAAAAATAATTTCTTAACAAAGTGGGACTCTTCTGATTACACCTGAATACCGCCATATTATTTTGGAGTTTTCCTGAAGCCTGTATTTTAAAATAAATACGTTATATAGATGACGTCAGTGAAACTTTATTGATAAATACATTTACTTTTAGTAACAGTAGGAATCCTTTTTTTTATTTCTGGTTAAGAATAGAAGCAGACCAAGCTCAACCAAACTCTGACAAAAACACTTATAATTTATTGAACAGAGTGTAATAATTTCATATTTAAAGTACTTTCAGAAGTTTGAACTCTGAATATGAGCGGACCTTTCCTTTAAGATTGACTTAAACTCATAAAATCGCACTGCTAGCTGATGTTGTTCTTTCTTATTTTAACCCTAAAACAAACTTGCAAATGTATCTAGTAAAAATTATTGCTGAAAAAGGGATGAGAAACAAGATGCATCAATAAATGTGATTCACGTGTCAATAACTGCTTTATAATCAGATTATTGGGAGAAATCGGGAATTCTTTTGTTTTCCAGTAAACGTCTCATTTAGGATTGAGTTATTATTAGTAGAGATATCCTTAAAGCTAGCTAGCTACATGACGCGCTGCTTTGTGGAGCTACAGTGGACTAAATAACTAATGTCTTTCAGTTAAAACCCCAGAAAGCTCAGAATAATAAGGAGGACAGGTGTTGTGAACCTCAGTCAGGATGACTGAGGTTCACAACACCTGTCCTTAGCTGTTGGTTACCAACAAAGCTAAAGCAGGCTAAGCTAAGCTAACGGCTAGCTGTTAGCTAAAATAACCACCAGAAAACACAGTGAAGGAAAAAACTAATAAACGTCATCCCACCTGTTTCACAGTCCTAAAGAAGGTCCCGTTCCGTCTCCCCCTCCGCCGGTGGATTAAAACCTTCCCCCAGGACTGGAAGGGGAATCAAGCCGAGCGGCTCTCCGGAGGGGAAACCACCGCAGCGGCTAGCTTCATGCTGGACGCCTGATGCTTTCACTTCTCCACGGAAATTCCAACACATATTCTGAAGTGTTTTGTTTTACATTTTCTTATCCGTTAAAAATATAGCTCATCAACACTCAACCGAATCTTACAAACAGGGAACCTTTATGTTCGGATCTAAGTATATATTTTTTTTGTTATTAACACTATTGATACTTCCGTCTTTTAATTCAAACTGTCATAGAAAGCAGCACAAGTTACAAGAAAAGAAAAGGATTTGTGCCACATGAATTAACCAAAAATGTTTATACAAAGTAAAACATTAAAATACTTTTCATGTAAAGAAAAAAGCAGCTATATTGTAGCTGACGTTTCTTCTGTTTCTTCTCCCTCTGTCCAGTATTTAAGTTCAACCTCTAACTTTATGTTCTCTCTGCTTTTCCCACTATAATATGGTATAAAATGGCAAACAACCACCCTTGGATAAATAATATGTAGTTTAAGCTGGTTATTTTATTATTTCAAACTCACCTCTAACTTAAGCATTCCTAGAGTAGGTATAATTTAATATTTAGGCTCATGCATGAAAACCTTGTATATTTTTTGATACCCAGTGTAAAAATGTTAATACCTTTGCAGTGAAAAACTATTTCCTGCAATTCCAAGCTCAAATAATGTTATCTATATATGATATAAATAAAACATAACCACATGAATTGCTTGGAAACTATTGTGACCCTCTTTATTCTGGTCTCATGTCAGTTTGGGTCAAGCTTGGGATATTAGATATGCATCTGGTACCATGAAAAGAACCAGTATATAACTGGTGTTTCCCATTCTTAACTGGGATTGACTGTTGTAAAAATACAGCGTACCTCTCCTCTGCCAGCATTTCTCCAGCGGTTGTAGGTCGAATCTAGAATTCATTGAAAAATTCCTCTGTTGGTCTACATGACCTGAATATATCCTACATTTTATTTATTTTATTTTACGTTTAGCTTTTTTTTTTTTTTTTTTTTTTTTACTTATTTCTCTGGATGCTTCACTTTTTGGAGTTATCTTAATTTTACTGGTTTATTTGTTGTTTACTTGTTTGCTAAATGTGCTTTATAACTAATTATAAACTTTCTTGGGATACTATGACCTGGATGATATTGAGGATTTTCCCCGACTCATTTATAACTAAAGGTAATTGGGTTTAAGGTGATTAAAAAAAGAGATGATTGAGTTTGATGGTAGAGAAACATGATCAGAAGAATCATATTTTTTTATTGACCAAGATAATGTCCAAAACCAAAGAATATGACTTGAGTTTCAGGCGTACTGAAATAAATATACAAACTTCAGGAAAACAGGAACACTATGTACACATGAATGTATAATTTTAGACATGAATATGTTCAGACATCTTATATAAAGAAAACAAATAAATTTCTGTAATTACAGAAATGTCAAATCTAGAATATGTCTTCTTCCGGTGGTTTTCTTCGCTATTGGAATGTTTGCCAGATGGCAGAAACTAAACCAATGAGTGAAGAGGATGAAGGTCTCTATACACCTGAGCAGCTTTCAAGTGCAAGGATGAATTATTACTGGATGTGCTCTCTTGATCCTCTGACATGGGAGCTGGCTCGGAGCCCGTCTGCCTGGCTGTGTGTTTCCTGGACGGGGCCGCCTGTGGAGCTGGTTGACAGTTGCCTTTTGTATCTATGCTTCTTTTTCTATGTCTGCTTCTGTCTCCTTGAACCCCAGTGGGCCTCAGCAGATGGCCGCTCACACTGAGCCTGGTTCTGCTGGAGGTTTCTTCCTGTTCAAAGGGAGTTTTTCCTCTCCACTGTCGCTACAAGCATGCTTAGTGTGAGGGATTGCTGAAGAGTCAATGAGTCGATGCAATCAGCTGGTTTTCCTTAGATAGAAAACTTTGAATCAATCTGACTGGATGATCTGGTGAACTGGAAAGTGACCTGAGATGACATGATGTGAATTGGAGCTATAGAAATAAACTGAATAGAATTAATTATTTAATTTCTATTTCACAAATTGCCCGCCTAATTAAAATTGTTCAATCCACAAATAAAAACGTAGTAATACTTAGTAATAAGGTAGTGAATAGCCTCAGTTGATGACCCTATAAACCAGGGTGAGTTTGTGTTTACTGCACAGTTATTGACTAATGTAAGAGCAATCTCCAAAGAATTGCAAAGACGGTATTTTGGTCACAGAAGTTCCCTGATTTTACCGCTTCTTTTGGTAGTTTACTGAGAAGGAAAGCTGTGAGACAGGTAGATGGAGTTTTGAATTCCCCATACTTCCAGAGAATGGATCTGGAAACGTCCCTTGCAGAGTGGGTCGCTCCTGAATGTTTCACAAGTCTCAGAGATTCCTTCCTCTAATTTTTCCCGCAAGCAGATAGCGTGGCCGCCGTCACCACCTGAAATATGACATATGAGTGATGTCATCAGGACGCAACAATAGGGATTGGTTCATCTTTAACATGATTCTGTCTGCATGTGTAAACAACATACCGATGATGAGCTGACTGTCATCCCCTGCAATGAACTTTGAGGCATCTTGTTCCTTTGGTCTTTTGGCCTCTTTTGCTGTCCTAGGATGATCTAATGGAACAGTGAGGGGGACGGTCAGGAAGGCGGGGTTCTGGGGAGTCCCAGACGGACAGCTGAGAGTTTCAATGGCGAGCTGAGAGGAGGAGCTGCCTTCAGCTCCAGGTTGCTGAGGAGACACTATTCTGGTCATAATGTTGATCATAGCCCGTTGGTAGCGCTCCATGTTGGGCCGCAGCTGAAACAGTTGGTATATTTTGGTTAAAACTCTAAATCATAAAAGGCATTCTGTGCAATCATATATATGGCATGATAAGGCTGCTCTAAAAGGTTTAAAGATGTTATTATTTTATTTTCATGAATTTACATCCAGATTAGTTCTGTAGTATGACGAAGTATTAGGGCCAGGCTAGAGATTTTTATTTATTTATTTTTTTTGAGAAAAAAAGTTGTAAAATTACAAGAATAAAGTCATAACGTTACAAGAATAAAGTCATAAAATTACAAGAATAAAGTCGTAACATTACGAGAATAAAGTCATAAAATTACAAGAACAAAGTCGTAACATTACGAGAATAAAGTCAGAAAATTATAAGAATACAGTCATAACGTTACGAGAATAAAGTCATAAAATTACAAGAATAAAGTCATAACGTTACGAGAATAAAGTCATAAAATTACAAGAATAAAGTCATAACGTTGCGAGAATAAAGTCATAAAATTACAAGAATAAAGTCGCAACGTTACGAGAATAAAGTCATAAAATTACAAGAACAAAGTCGTAAAATTACAAGAATAAAGTCGCAACATTACGAGAATAAAGTCATAAAATTACAAGAACAAAGTCGTAACATTACAAGAATAAAGTCAGAAAATTATAAGAATACAGTCATAACGTTACGAGAATAAAGTCATAAAATTACAAGAATAAAGTCATAACGTTACGAGAATAAAGTCATAAAATTACAAGAATAAAGTCATAACGTTACGAGAATAAAGTCATAAAATTACAAGAATAAAGTCGCAACATTACGAGAATAAAGTCATAAAATTACAAGAACAAAGTCGTAAAATTACAAGAATAAAGTCGCAACATTACGAGAATAAAGTCATAAAATTACAAGAATAAAGTCATAACGTTACGAGAATAAAGTCATAAAATTACAAGAATAAAGTCGCAACATTACGAGAATAAAGTCATAAAATTACAAGACGGAGTCATAAAATTACAAGAATAAAGTCATAACGTTACGAGAATAAAGTCATAAAATTACAAGAACAAAGTCGTAAAATTACAAGAATAAAGTCGCAACATTACGAGAATAAAGTCATAAAATTACAAGAACAAAGTCGTAACATTACAAGAATAAAGTCAGAAAATTATAAGAATACAGTCATAACGTTACGAGAATAAAGTCATAAAATTACAAGAATAAAGTCATAACGTTACGAGAATAAAGTCATAAAATTATAAGAATAAAGTCATAACGTTACGAGAATAAAGTCATAAAATTACAAGAATAAAGTCGCAACATTACGAGAATAAAGGCATAAAATTACAAGAACAAAGTCGTAAAATTACAAGAATAAAGTTGCAACATTACGAGAATAAAGTCATAAAATTACAAGAATAAAGTCATAACGTTACGAGAATAAAGTCATAAAATTACAAGAATAAAGTCGCAACATTACGAGAATAAAGTCATAAAATTACAAGACGGAGTCATAAAATTACAAGAATAAAGTCATAACGTTACGAGAATAAAGTCATAAAATTACAAGAACAAAGTCGTAAAATTACAAGAATAAAGTCATAACGTTACGAGAATAAAGTCATAAAATTACAAGAACAAAGTCGTAACATTACAAGAATAAAGTCAGAAAATTATAAGAATACAGTCATAACGTTACGAGAATAAAGTCATAAAATTACAAGAATAAAGTCATAACGTTACGAGAATAAAGTCATAAAATTACAAGAACAAAGTCGTAACATTACGAGGAGAAAGTCAGAAAATTATAAGAATACAGTCATAACGTTACGAGAATGAAGTCATAACGTTATGAGAATAAAGTCATAAAATTACAAGAATAAAGTCGCAACATTACGAGAATAAAGTCATAAAATTACAAGAATAAAGTCATAACGTTACGAGAATAAAGTCATAAAATTACAAGAATAAAGTCATAACGTTACGAGAATAAAGTCATAAAATTACAAGAATAAAGTCGCAACATTACGAGAATAAAGTCATAAAATTACAAGAACAAAGTCATAAAATTACAAGAATAAAGTCGCAACATTACGAGAATAAAGTCATAAAATTACAAGAACAAAGTCGTAACATTACAAGAATAAAGTCAGAAAATTGCAAAAATAAAGTCGCAACATTACGAGAATAAAGTCATAAAATTACAAGAACAAAGTCATAAAATTACAAGAATAAAGTCGCAACATTACGAGAATAAAGTCATAAAATTACAAGAACAAAGTCGTAACATTACAAGAATAAAGTCAGAAAATTGCAAAAAATAAAGTAATAACGTTACGAGAATAAAGTCATAAAATTACAAGAATAAAGTCATAACGTTACGAGAATAAAGTCATAAAATTATGAGAATAAAGTCATAAAACTACGAGAATAAAGTTGTGACATTACGAAATAAAGTCGCAATGAGAATAGTCATAAAACTACAAGAATAAATTCGTAAGATTCTCGTGATATCACTCAGGAAATGCTGTGTATTTTAAACTTCACAATTTAGCTGTAGGAATGTGAAGATATGTGTCAAAAATTAGCATCATCATTTTAAGGTATATAGTGATCTTTTAAAAGTTAAAAAATACAGCTTTTAAGCAATTTGTATGATTTCTTATAAATAAATCATTTCCACAGGAAAATCTAAATAAAATTTAAAGCTTTAGTTTTCTAAATGCTGCTTGTCACAATGAATTAAACTCTTTGAACTTTCTGGTTAATTTCAACAAGTGCTGTTGGAGTAGGAGTGCAGGAGTAGCCTTGCACACCTTTCATGTTTGTTAGTTATAGTTCAATTAAATTAGCGCAGATCAAACCTCGGTAGATGCAAAGTCATGAAGGTGACTTACCGTGAAAACAAAACATTCGCCAGTTCCAAAATACGTAAGTCCCTGAGTGTCATGATTCCGCCGTTCTATCAAATCCGTTGACAAGAAAGCTCCAAAAACCTGTGAAAGGAGTCATCTCAGTTTAATATAAGCAATATTATAATCATGTACATTTTAGCTTAAAGGAAACTTTTCAGTTTGGTGCTTATCGCTGTAAATAATTACCTCTTCATCCATTGTCTTAACGATGAGAACCACCGGCTCATGTCCTTCAACACGTGAATACAATCTAAAAGAGATGCAAAGGAAATCAAAGTCATCAGCCATTTTACCTATCCGCCCGACGTTTTTCCACATCGAGCCAATATACACAACATCTTATAATGGCTTTTTAAACATGTGACTGGTGTAATGTTTGTCATTTTGGACTTGCTAATGATGCAATGTTTGAAGTCAAGGCAAACATGTTGATAGTGTAAATACACGACCAGTCAGTGCTATCAATCCCCAACTACCTACACGTGAGTGCAACAAAAGAGGAATTCTCCAGTAGGTGTTGATGCCCAAAAACAGGCTTTTTAGAAAAGGTTTAACTTATTTGTAATATTGTCTTCAAGAAAACTTTTGTTTAGGATCAATGTAGTGAAGGAAGGTTGCTTACAAAGAAAGATCTCTTCCATTTTCTGCCGTATGAAACAATCGAACGGGGCTAAAAAGAGCAAAGCGTTCAGGAATCCAGGCCCAGATGACCCTCATCTCCGTCCCTGTGACGACACTGGAGCTGAAGTTGCTGAAATCCACTTTTTCCACCGTTTGCCTTTAGGACCATCAAGATCAATAAGGTTAGGAGGAACAAAAAATGTTGTTTTCAACCTTTTCTCTACATTGGGGGTCTCCAACCCTTGTCCTTTAGACCTACTGTCCTGCAGGTTTTAGGGGCATCCCTGCTCCAACATGGCTGAATCAAATGAAGGGCTCCTTACCTAGCCTCGTGAGACCATCCTGATCTCGCGAGTTTTCAAGGTTTCAATCGCAGATCAGTCTGGAGACTCTCCGTTAAAGAAAATTTGGAGCAGTTCACCAAACGAACGTCCAAACGGCGTTGGCTTTGAGGCGGGTTGAGAAGCGCGACAGTTCAGTCTAAAGAACATGGCGGCTTCAGCCGATGAAACTAGCGTTAGCGTGGCTATCGAGCAAGTTTTATCGGAATTACAGAGTATTTCTTCACTGAAAGAAGAGCAAAACACTGCTCTGGAGGCTTTTCTCAGAGGAAAAGATGTTTTTGCTCTTCTCCCAACTGGTTTTGGCAAGAGTAGCCTGGCTTGTGGTTGTGTTTTTGTCGTCGCTCTGTTAGTACGTGTTAAAGAAAAATGATTATTTTTAGACTTTAATACAGTTAATCTTATGGCATGTGTAAAAGGTATGTTGTATACTCTCCTTTTCTCATATTTCTTATTTTGAACAAGTTTGTGAAGATAACCTTTCCTTGAACCAGATTACTAAATTTAAGTTTGTTCCTGAAAATTTATGGTGAGGCCCCCCGCATTCCACAAGCTGTCTGTGGAAGCTTATCTTGTGTTTTATGACCCTAGGAATTCTAGATGCCAGGACAAGCTTTCCGCCTTTTCTTGTTAAAACAAAGAAGCAAATGACCCCAGATGTTTGCAGTAAATAAGGGGAAGCCCTAGCAGTGTCAGAGATGGCGTTGGTTGGAGGACCGAGGGCCAGCCCCTTTTTGAATGGATTAGATACAAGAGGATAAAGCTTTCTAAATAGAAGAAAAAGATCAGATTTGCCCTTGCAACTCCCAAAGATGTCTCTGTACTCTTTTTCTTTTCTTTCCT